ATGAGTTTATTGTTTTTTTAAGCCATACTATGCTATTTATGGAATCAATAGCATGCAGAATTAACGTTAAAATAGGTAGATATCTATACAAATTTCCATTGAAATTGATGGCTGACAGAATTTATATTTAAACGGCGCGGCGTAGAATCGATGTAAAAACCTCCCGATGAGTAACGACTGTATGATATTGTCACGGGTATAGCGGTATTCAACTTGACCATCAAATGGTAAACTTACTACATAGTATACGATATATTACAAACAGTATATCCAATTAAATAAGCACCGATATATATTAATTTGTACGTCATTAATATCGATTCTACGTCTCGTCATTAACATTACCGTAGACACTTTCAACAATTTCGAGATTGGTATAATTGAATTAATTTCGAAAATTGACCCTTATATTATGTGAAATATCTGTATTTTCACTAAATAGTGTATAACATTTTATAAAATATTACGTTTTGTGGTTCAATTCATCTGACATTTTAAGACTAATGACCTGTTTGCAGACCCGGGTTATACAAAGCAGTTGTAGCCTCGAAAGTACAAGTGAAAGGAAACGTAAAGTGACTATTATGTTACACTCGTAGGTAGTTGGTAGGCTCATAAATTAGAAATATGTTTTATATTTTAATTAGTTTAATACTACTCCTAGAATGTTGTTTTTGAGTAGGTACATTTAAAAGCCAAAACTATTTGACACACGACTCCAATTTACCATATAAAAGTTTTGTTTTAGATTTTGAGCTAAGCGATGAATGTGTTTATTTTAGTGTTTTTTTTTTTTTTTTTTTTTTTTTTTTTTTTTTGAAGTGCATAATATGTATACACGATTTATGATATAAAAAATAAATGCTCCGCTATTGAAATTTGAGGGGAGTTTTATGAAAATCGGATCTAGTTGGTAATTTTAAGAGGGGTCAAGATCAAAAATTCTCAGTACTTTTCTAAATAATCAAAGAGAAAAACAAAAAAGAATAAATAAAATACAGTATTTTTTTTATCCAAAATCGGTTTTATTATTCTGCTGTATCGTAATTTGTAATTATTTAAAAACCACAGATATATATTTGAAATTTTCACAAACTATTTATATAAGCATTTAATAATTCTTTTCTACTAAATAGATGAATTGTTGATTTTTCCATAGTTTTTTTTTTCAAATAAAAATATTTATGTAGAAGTGCATAACAGCTAAGAAAAATCAATATCAGTGATTTAATATATAAATATTAATGACTTACTCAATGAGGAGGTAGACTTGACACCTACTATATCCAGTAGACTGGTTTTCACTTTTTTTCCTTTTTTATATTTTTTGCAGTTCATTTTTCCAAAAAAAAAAATATTTTAGTTTACCCACATAATAGCTTGAAAAAGATGGAGAACTTTTATTATTAAATAATTGTATATATTATATTTTCAATACCAAACAATGTAGTAAAAATATGATTTATAATTTACTCAACTGTATCAGTGTAAAAAATACATATTTTATTAGTTTTATTGTATTATAATTAAATCCATTGTTTATAAATAATTACTCGTAATAGCCCTATGTGTGCTGAAACATTTTATAATTATATTAAATGAATAAAAAAATATGATTTTATCCCTGGTGCACATTTGATGGTAACCGTTGATGCAAAAAGCAACCTTCACCTTAACACTCCTTCCCCCATTTTAAATTTCATATAATAAACGAATATCAATAACCAATAAAAATAAAATTGATGTAATAAAATAAAATAATGTATAACTACTACTCTTTATTAAAGCGTTCCTCCTCATTTTAATAGGCTGTCTATGATCTGTTTACAAGAAAAGTATGGTTAAAAATGTTTTTGATTGAAAAATGTATTTAGTTCTTTGTGTTTAAAAATATTTATTATTAGAATTTTTTTTTTATTATTATTTAAATAAGGCTTCAACTCCTGAGGTTATTAGCCTATAACAATATTATTGGAATTGTAAATCATGAAATTATATTAAAAACATTTATATCATTTAACAAATAATAATCAAACTTCATAATCAAATAATTTTCTTGTTCTAAAATTTTAAAATTATACAAGAATAAGTCGTTGGTAATTCTTCATGACCGAATACTGTAAAATATCTATTATTAGTTGTATTATATTAGATCACATAGTAGTTCCAGTATATAAGCAAAGGCTTAATACTAAAACATAGTAAACTCTAAAAGTGATTTATTGCTATCTTGTCATCTGGAAAACTTAAGGATTAGTTCTTATGAACAGTAGTTTGTGTGTAATATATATACGCATAGTTTTGTTTCTAATCGACGTTTGTCTTGTCTTTGTCATAATCTTGTTCAGTTAAAATAAAATATAAAACAGCACTGGTATGGATTGATGTTTTCAAATATTTTTCTCGACCTTACTTGTCACCTATATATCGACTTTCGAATAATATAATCAACCAAATTATCAGTGGCACAAATAGGGGGGCTTAGACTCCCTCCCCCCCAAAAAACTCAAAGCCCCCTCAAAAAATAATAGTATAATATATGTATGTTATTCTTAATAAGTAATTTTTACCGGTTTTATTTTTTTACTTTGTTATTAAACATTATTTCTTAAATCTTTAATAACTGGAGTAATTACATCTTTACAAGAATATCGTGATTTTGGACAACATTATAATACATTTTGGAATGAAATGCTTGAATTTAGCACTAAACATGAAATTATTTCTCTTGAAATTCCTTTTAAATGTAAGAAAAAATATAAAAATACTGAATTAATTTATACTTTATAATTATTTATTTATTTGGTTATAGCTGTATCAAAGGAAAGATTACGAAAAGAGCCATCTCAGCTCAAAGATTTTGTTTGTTTGTAACTAGTGCTAGTGATGATCACACTGCAGATATTGTAGAAACAAAAAAAAGGTATTGGAAAATAAAAGCTTATTATTGTATATTAGATACAATGATAAATATTTTAAAAATAAGATTTTCCGAAGATAGACTTCAAGTAGCTTCATCAGTAGATAATTTACTAAAATTGAATTTTKAAGGTTCTTCATTTTWAATTGATCATTACAAGGTACATGTAAAATACATTATTATTTTTCCAGCATTTAACTAATGTTTAATATTTGCTCAGGATTTATTTGGAATTTCTAATCAGTCACTGATGTCTGAAATGTCTGTTAAAACATTCTGGGTGAAAAYTCTAGTTTAGAGGAAATAAAAGAGCATTTGACATTATATGATGGTAAAGTATTTCCAAATTTTTGTAAGATGTTTCTAGTAGCTGTTACTCTCCCTGTAAGTACAGTGACCTGTGAGAGATAATTTTCTACTATGCTACGTATAAAAACATGGTTGCGTCTCGCGTACTTGTAAGTATCAGGATAGCAATTTAAGTATTATAAATATAGAAAAAGACAYTCCTATCAATAATGAAGACATATTAAATATTTTTGAAAAAACCGAGAGGCGTATTATACAATTACATTAAATATATCTATTAATTTGAATAAATAGTTCATGTTATGTAATATATATATATATATATATATATATAAATGTACTTACTATGTATGATACTAAACTACTTTTAGAATTGAATAAATACGGATACCATTTTTAAAAGTATGTACTTATAAATTATAATTTTTAAAAAATGTGTTGGGGCTTGAGCCCCCCTAAACCTTTTTCCTATTTGCGTCACTGCAAATTATTATAAACAGTAATATGTGGTGTTACAAACAGTTTGAATCGTTAATCATGCACACCGTACATTTCTAGCTTTCCTCTAATCATGATTTGTGGTTTATCAATTTACAGGAAAATGGGTGTAGCTTACATTAATTGGAAAAAAAATTATTTGAATCACCACAGGATATTATATTTCAATCTGTGTCAACAATATTCTTAGWATAAGTATTTGAAAATATAGTTTAACACTTGAGAGTAAAAAAAATTCTTATTAGCAAAATTTGAATAAAATATGCATTATTAAAGGATAAAATAAACGCAAGCTTGTTTGGAAATATCACCCTGTATTTAGCAAGTATCGAGTTAACGTCGATGGAGAAAAATGCGACCACTTGATAGTTCATATAATGATTAATCGTTGAATAGGTTTTTTTTTTCGATTATAAAAGATGAAGGTTAAACTTTTTTGTTCGAGTATGTATTGTTCCTTGTAGTTTTTGTTTGAATTTATTGCTATAAAATGTCTATTCCTATTCTCTTGCAGACTGAGCTTCCATTTTTATATATATTATTATAAGTTGATGTTTTATCACCTTTTTTTCAATTACAATATACCTAACAATTTGAAACATGTACAAGCACATAATATTTAAACATTATTTATTCCATTTATGGTTTTATTAAACTTGAAAATTGTTATCAATAATGTTTTCTTAAAAACGTTATTGTTTGGTTTATATAATAAATAAACTGAAATAACAAGTGAAGTGCTATTTATACACTGAATAAATATTTCCATATTTCTATAAAATCATAACTTATAATTCAAAAATGTTTATTTAATGTCTTATTAGTTATTAATAATTTATTATCGTTAAGAATGGACTTAACCATAGTAACCTAAGAATGAAATTTCACAATAACTTTGAATCCTGTTGTAGAGAGATAACAGTAAAATTTAAGTTTAAGTGACTTTATTTCATACTTAGAACTATATATTTATTTCATACTTAGAACTGTATGAATATATTATTATCATATAATGTATATTTAATTATGGAAACAAAAATTATTATAAATCTTTTATATTTTATCACAATATTTGGTTGAATTTTATTAATTTAATTACAAAAAATATTTTATTAAAGCATTKATTTTCTGCGCAATTTTTTGTTTTATTGACAAAATAAATAATATACATGCATATTAATGTATATAAATATAATTTTATATAATTTTATAATACCAATAAAATACATTTTTATAATTCTTATGTTTTATATTTATTAATTTTTTATTACAGCCATGGATCTTTATTTAACTAAACAAGATCCAACACGTGCATTTGGATACCATACTGAATTCTGAACGCATCCACTACTTGAGTAAGCTAACTAGTAGTTAGTTTTAGATTTAAAATTGTGTAGGTATTAAATATCACCTATAAGTACATATTTATATATATTAACATACACTGTACTATCACTATATAGGCTATAAATAAAAAATAAAACATCAATCTTCACTTAGTTTTTTTTTTTTAAATTTGGTTGGTTCATATGTAGAGACAGTTTATTTATTTTATTTTAGTTATTTGTATCAGGCAAGGGTTTATTTGGTTAAAGTTCAAATTCGTATGCATAAAATTTACAACCAAATAAATATTTGTTACGAATCAAAACAATTGTACGTCACTTAAAAACATTTAATTTATATCGAGATTTTAAGGAAATGTATAATGTAGATTCAAAAAAAAAAAAAAAAAATGTCAAGTATTAAACTATTATAATTGGAGAATAATAAAATGGAAATATTATGGTTCATATTAGGTACATAATGTATAAAATATTTTGAAAATTGATACTAATTAGGTAAGTAGGTAGTTAAAGGAATTTGGGTATCCATTTTAACTCCATTTCAACTTTTATATAATAATATTTATTGGTCCCTCGTGATTCGCTTTTTTAAAATAACAATATTAGTCTATATGAACAGTCAATATGAGTTATAATATAGTAAAATATTATAGTCGTAGACTTAATTGCGCCTTTTTTGTTGAATTAATGAAATCATCGATCTGCGCATGCCATGTTTATTATAGTTTTGTATTTATACGCACAATTGTACCTAGGTAATAGTAATTAGAACAATAAATCAATCGAGGCGTTAACAACGTTTTAAGTTCTAAAAAATATGATGAAATTTACATTTTGAAAGAAATTATGACTTTATTTTTATAGATTATTCAGATAATATATGCAGATTTCTAATTATTTATTTATTTTTTAATGGGACCCCCTACCATGGTATTATTTTATTCAAGCACCTGCGAAAATAAACGAATTACAAAAGTTAATTATTTCACAAAAATATTATATTATCGTTTTAAAGAAACTGAAAAAAAAAATGTTCTATTTTAGTCTTAACCAAGAACAGGTCCTTTAAGAATATCATGATCTATAATAACTTTATGCGAATTATAAGGAAAGACATAATATTTATAATAATATTGATGTATGATTTCTGAAGAAAACTTATATATTAATGGTTTATGGTTTATTATCCACGTCACAATAGGGTATTTATTCACAGATTATAATACCGCCGGTATAGCACAACTTAAAATTACAAATTTCGTCTGAAAATCATAATAAATCAACCCAGTACGATATTAATACTACGTGACTATTTTGTATTAATAGTGTCAGTATTATTGACCATATATCTACTATAATACTATGGTAGTAATATATTAAGGTTCGTTTATATACTTTTGTACACTATTTATTATATAATATAAAGTGTTAGGTTAAGCTTACCTAGTATGGAAGTAGACATTTATTTTATTTTGCAATGTCACGGATTTCTTCTTGCAGGTCTAACTTAAAGAGTAAACAGTACATGATATATTTCAAGTGTTATAATATATAACGTTTAAAGTTTTTAACTTTGTCCATAAATAGCATACTTGCTGCATGATTTTTTTTATGATTTATTGTGTGTTTAAAATATAAATTATACACTTTTCGACCACTGAAATAATTTTTAGTAATTTGTAACGATAGAATAACAAAAATGAAAATTATTTAAATACACATGTATAATAAGGACAGTAATTTGTTTGTTTATTACTAAATATGGTTTGATATTTTTTGGTGATTATTGGAATTATTCCTAAAAGCCCGATTATCAACAGACCAGATAAAAATATTCTGATGGCCCATGGGTTGCTATAATACATTAACAATTAAAAAAAACTTGTTAGATGAAAACGCAATAGAAAAAATATATATCGAAAAAGTTTTAAATAGAATACTATGAGAGTTTTAACAAATGACAAATGATTTGGAACGGTTTTTTTCTTCAATTAAAAATCAAAATTAAAGTATAAATTATTGATAAAGTGTAGGTAATACTCTTAGTCTAGGTAATGATAGTAATTACTAATTTGTTTATAAGTGAAGAGATATTAATTTACTTTTAATTTAAATATTAATTTAAACAGTGGTATCAATTTATAGTCTGAATTTATTAAATTGTTAGACTATTTCATAAACAAAAATATGAAAAATCGCTGATAAAATAATTATTTTTCACTAAAGGTACTTTTAGAAGAGAATCATAATAATTTACCATCAGTACTAATACTGTGAGTTATCATGCCCCCCCCCATATTCTCTACATTAAGCACACTTCGAAAATTATAATCTAAACTACTATACCTCTTTATACCTAAATAGCTGAGGTTACATACTAAATTAAATTGTTAATTAATAATAAGTTGGTTTACTGTTTAATGATCTTCATTTAGTAAATAAAAGTACTGGTTAGTGCTCTAACCTCTGAACAGTCTGAACTATAGAGGCTATATAACTAAAACTGACTAAATGTTGGGGATTTACACACAGTATCGACCATTTTTCTAGTTAGTTGGATTAGTTTAAAGCTAATAAATAATATACTATAGTATTTAAAATAAACAATTGAACTATCATGTAAGAATTAATAATTTAATCATCACTCGAAATTCTTAAAATCGTATTACGAAATGTGAAAATTTACAAAATTTGATTACTTTTTAATGATTTTTATATTATGAACAAAACTATTAAACCTATTTCATCATAATATTTTAAGTATAAATAAAGCTGCGTATTGTTTACAAAATCATCAGTAACAGCTAGTATAATCACTCTCGTGTCAAATCGTTATTCTCTCTACTTAAAATCATTTTTATACTGTTTAAAAATTAAATTTACAAGTGTTTCTAAACATGGCAGTCTCAATCATGGATAATGCAGTTATATTCAAGAAAACCTTTACATATATCCCACCAACACTACCTTCAGAGCTCATCAATTCTACTAACTATACGTTAAACTTCGTGAAACTTCGTGAAACGTAAGTTTATACATATAGGAATCGATTCGAGTGATATGTTTAGAGTAGCAGTAGGTACATATAATAATAATACCGTCACGTTATGTAAATATTTCAACTGAGTTTCTACAACGAATATTTTCACTGATGGGTAATATCCAATCATTTATTTTGAAACTATCAGGAAAATATAAAAGGACTATATTTCTTGGGACGGAGAAATTCAAATTATCTAGCATGATGTGCGGTGAAAACACCTTAGTAGTAGAATCTAAGATACATGATGGATGTCGAATTCTTTTAAGTCAAAAAGAACTCTTAATACTTCAATATTTAGAGTGGTGTATTTTCGAGACAATTACTCGAAAATCTACTATCATGCAACCAATCATCTCAAATCAATTTGAAATATTTAATGGATATCTCGATAGAGAACTTATCAAAGTGAAATCACCACCAAGAACGAATGAAGAAATGACATCATTTATTAAAAATGTACCTGATGATGATATTATTACAAACAGTCCTAAACATGATATTAATTTTATTAGTCAGCTCAAAATGTATACTTTACCACAATTAGCAGAACATTAAATACAGCGGTGGCTAAGGAAGAACCCCCCTCGTGCGAAGTCTGCGGTGTCCAAATATCAGTGAAACACATCACAACAGAATGCCTAAAATATCAGCAAAAACGACAAAACACCGGATTGGATACGACCCTCGACATCGCATTGGGACCCAATGCTGTGGAGAACAATAAAATGATAGTTTTTTTGAAATCAACAGGCCTCTATAACTTAATTTAATAATTTGCAATTGTTTTTCTCCTTTTTTTGTTTTTGTTTTTTTCCTTTTATATAAATACTAAGAAACTATACTCTTACACCAAATACCTATTAAAAAAAAATAATAATATTGTTAAAATCTTAAATCTTGTAAACCTACCACAATTTATTGTAACTAATGGCCATGTAGCTGCTGGGTTTTATTTGATCAATAAAAAAATAAAATAAATAAATACAGCGGGTGAATAGGGAAATGTCACCGGAGGGGAGGTAAGTTAAAAAATATATATTTATACTACTAGATTATTAATGTATTCATTATTGTAATTAGTTAATGGAAATGTGATTTCACCAACCTCTCCACCAAACATCATAGTAAACAAAACATTTGACACAAAAAATAAAGAGGGTGATATTTTAAAAAGAGTGGTCATTTTATAATATAATAAATATATTATATTATATTATTATTATACATTATATTCGTATATGTACTTATACTTTTTTCAGTCATATGATTCAATTCATGATCTACTACAGTCATTTGATGTTAATGATGTTCCTGATTTTTTCAACACACAACCCCCTCCCCCCCCTCCCGCCGCCCACAAATCCTCCTCATCAAACAATGTACACTACGTTCCCAAGACAATTACATGGAGTAAAAAGAGAAAACTTTTTAATATTTGTAATGAATTCAAAATGTATGTGAAATAAAAAAGATATGATATTATATTATATAATATGTTTGCATTTCTTAAGTTTTATAATCAATATTTTCAATGTTCTTACTTCATTATTAAATGGAKTATAAGCTATAATCATATTATAATTTAATCATGTAATATCAAAMAATATGTTGAAGTAGATACTGGAAATACTTCTTCAGTCTCAACCTCAATCCTAAGGTTAATATTCAAAGTTTTTTACATTATTATTCTATATCACTATATAACCATAATCATAAACATAGACCTGATTGATTAATTCAATTATTCAATTTTTTATCATTTATTTCAAAAATATATATTGTTTCACCCATACTTATACAGGTATTATATATATGTATCTCACATTCATTTATACCAACAAACATATATACTCACATATAGAAAAAATTGTATTATGCTGAAATWTATACTTACATACAATTAAAATAGGTTGATTTCTTCAATAATAATTTACAGTAGATATTTCTGGTATATAATTTATTAGAA